GCCACCATCGCCTACTTCAAGTGACTCAGCGAGCAGGGCCTCGAGATGGCGGATAAGAGCGTGGTCATCACATCCAGAATCAGGCCTGCAGCAGTTGGTCGGGACGTGGGCCAAGACCGTGCAGGAAGGACTCCAGCAAGAAGGTCGACACACAGCAAGCGCAGACAGCAAGCGTGAAAGAGACTTGCCAACATTCGACTCAAGCTACGATGATTGCGCACCCTGCGCAGGCGAGCATTGGTCACTCAGGGGCCAATGGCATCCTACCTCTACGGATGCAAGGTATATGGAAAGGCACCCACTGCAGCCACCATCGCCAGGCCGACGTGCGCCACATCCCTGGGTAAGCACTGGGTCGGGAGATGTCTGCCAGCGTACCTATCCCTGTCGGAAGCCGACCAGGCAGTCACCATGCTGCAAGGAGTACTCAACACACGGTTCGACGCCTGGGCGTGCCGAGAGAGCCTACGCAATGAAGCTCGTCCAGCCTGGCCCGGTATCTACAACGGACTTGCCGACGTGCCCACGCAAAACCGATGGAAGCAGCGCAGAGGGCCTGATCGGCCCTGTTATGCTGTCACTCTGGAACGTTGGTTGGGACCCGATCACGCCTACAGAGTGGATCGATCACCTGGGCAACACATGGCGGATGGGCGAAGGCGACGACGACCACAAGGGCGACCCATCCCACGTCATTCATGCCATGCTGGAAGCTCAGCAGAGCCAGCACTGGACCAAGGCCACGGACCACCGGCTGGGCAAGAGGCTTCGAGTACGGCATCGACGCCTACGACATCGTCAAGAAGCCGACGGTGCTGCGCAAGCGAGGCGAGCACCATGAGGCAGGCGCACTACTGGCGGTGGCGAGCGCATGCACGTGATCATGTGGATGCCAGACCGCAAGCACATCGGGGATGGACAGACCTCCCTTTAGTAAAACGTGGCTTAGTGAAAACGACCTGAGGTCCAAACCTGGCGGGCGCAAGCCTGGAAAATAACGGCCGCGGCGCCCTCTCGAGAACCGAGAACGGAGAATTCACTAATCGACGTGTCACTGTTGGGGGTTCTGTCCACCCCCGAGCACAAGACATTCACAGACGCATCTAACACCTGCGCCTGTTGCGAGATCTGCGACGACCTCCACAGAGCAGCGGGCACTTGCATGTGCAGGGACGACCACGAGGACTACAGTCGGGGCGTTGACCTAAGGAACCCTAAATAAGGAACGAGGCCCCTTTTTTCCAGAAGCTAAACTTTGATGTCCGATCGAAAACATAAGGAAAACCTGAGGCAAGCTGCGAAACACGTAAGGAACGCGGGGCCCTCCCCAACGAAAAGGGTTCCTTCTTCAGGGCCCCGACTGTACGACAAGACGGAATGCATCAGACAAAGAGCGATCGAAGGCAGTCAACATACACCTCGTGTTTGGCTACGTGGGCGCGTGCCCAGAGCATGGACGGCGCCGCCAGATGGCGACACCATGGTGCAGCACACCAACAACGGCGACGTTGACAACGGCGGCAAGGTAACGACCACGGACGACATCACTGTGATATGCACAGTCGGCAGCAGAGGAGAGCAATCACATGACCCTCGATACCGAAGACGCGGATGGGGATGGTCCAAGCTGCAGCGACACGGTGAGGATTGGCAACTGAAAGCTGGACAATCCAGACCACTCCCAGGGCGACGGCAGACCAACAACAGGGCGGAGCTATGGGCAATGCTACAGGCGATAAGCTGCTCATACGGACGGCTCCACACTTGGACGGACTCACAGGTGGCCATACACGAGGATGGCGGCGGGGTCACCCTGTACACAGTGCGCGGCGTCGTGCGAACTACGATATCTGGAACCTCAGTGGCAGGGCGCTGCATCAGAGAGCTCCCGACCACGGAGACCCCGAGGAGCTCGTCAAGCTGCAGCACGTGCCGAGCCATCTCGACAACGAGCAGAGGCAGAGGCCTGGCGTGGCGTGGCTCGGCAGTGCAGCAGCGGATGCCCTGGCCGAGAGGGCGGCGGAGGCACGCGCCATCGCAGCCCCCCAGCTCGAGATGTCATCTCTGACCCGCGTGCAGAGCGGATTCATCCAAAAACTTTTTATTTTGCAGGGTCGCGCGGGCCGCTGCCAGCACACCGCTTCCCATTGCACGGGGAATGCGTCGGCTCGAAGTCTGCGACTGAAACCCGCCGCGCATCGTCTGCGGCGCGTTTCCACGGGCTCGCCCCCCGCCTCTGCGGCGACAAGATGTAAGAATGGGTTCGCGCAACCTGCGCGCTGGCGTGGAAAAGACTCCTCCGTGCCCATGTCGAGGCCTGCGCCACGGGCCCCGCCGCGCAGATGAGCGAGAAGCAGGTCTCCCAGGTGCTCGAGAAGAGAGCCACCGGTGAGCTGAGCCAGGCCCGTTCTGCCTCGCCCCATGTCCTCCTCTCCTCCCGTGGTCGTTGGCAGTGTGTCGCGTGTAGAGAAGCAGCGAGTAAGCGTGCAGGTGCCTGAGTCATCAAGAGATGGCTGAAGCATTGCAAAAGTCGTCCTGGGTCTAAGTGTGCCCGTGGTTCCACGCAAAGCATCCAAATAGGCAAACGATGTGTCCACCCCTCCCACACGATGCAATATGCCGATGTTTGTTCCACTTGGTGGTGCACCACCTGTAGCCGACGATCCAAAGCGTCTGATCCTGGGAGTGTCAAGGGATGTCTACTTGAGTGTAAGAGCCCGACCAGAAACGGGGTGTATGTATTCAATTGCTTGTCCACCTCACCCTCTCCCCCCTCTCTTCCTCATCCTCCACCCAGCTCCTCCTCCTCCCTGCCCCTCCTCCTCACAGCTCCTCATCCTCGTTCTCATCCTCCTCCTCCCCTTCCCCATCCAATGCAATCCCTCTACCTTGTAGACAACTCCTCTGTTGGTAGGGCGGGCCAGGCGTTTCGCCAGAGCCTTCCACACCACATGTGATCCTGAGGCTTGAGACTGCACCAGTTACACGGAAGGAAAGGGGGTCGTTTTCAAAACGTGGTTCTGGCCTGGGCACCGCGCACAATCGTCGCAAAAACTTGGCGAATATCTGGGCCGATTCCGGCATGTCACTCTCGCCCCGAGCGCCGCGCACACTGATCTTCAGAACTTGCAGCAGCTACACGGATGGAGGGTGAATCGTTTGCAACTTGTCTCCCAGCCTTGGCGCAGCACAAATTTGTCGTAACAGTTTGCAACACGCTTACGACATGTGTCTCTCGTCTCAGCGCCGCGCGCGTCGGTCTCACGGATGCAAGCGGTCCCGTTTCAAACAGTTTCACGGATGCAGGCGGTCCCTTTTCAAACTGTGGTTCTCGCATTCGATCCGCTCACATTCATCCTGTAAGCTTGCAATAGCTTCACTGCTGGACGGCGAGTGCTTCGAGACGAAGCTCTCGCAGCATCGCCGCGCACGTTCGTCTTAAAGTTTACAACAATTATGGGAACGAGTGTCGGTTCCTTCTCAAATGTGGGGCTGCCGCATGGGAGCCCAGTCAACCACAAGACTAGAAAGTTGAACATGTGTAACAGCTGCACGGATGGAGGACGCTTCACTTTCAGAGTGGGTACTCTCGCTTGAGACTTCCTCGGAACGCATGGCCAGAAAAGGAAAACCCGTGCAGCAATTACAAAGATGGGGGGCGGCCTGTTTCAAATCAGGGTTCTCGCTCAACACCCTCTTGAGCAATGTGATCATGCCTTAGCTGGAGGATGCACAAAACACGTCCTTCTCATAGCGGGGCTCCCGCCTGAAGGGCATGTCAATAGGGTGCTGGTGATGCAAGGAGGCACTGCTTGCAATGAAAAAACAAGCTTGCATGAACTTGCGATGAGGGGACATGGGACAGGAGGGCGTATCGCAACATCCTTGATACATCTTGCGTGTACTCTGGTCCTCCACCTTCTCCTCCTCCCCCTCCTTCTCATCCTTCCCCTACTCTTCATCCTCCTCCAACTCCTCCTCATCGTCCTTCTCCTCCTACTCCTCCTCGTCAGCATCATCATCAACAGCATCATCGTCATCATCACCATCACCATCACCATCACCATCACCATCCTTATCGTCATCATATCGTCGTCGTCAGCATCGTCATTTGCATCAATATCATCATCATAAGCTGCACCATCACCATTATCGTCATCACCACCACCATCATCATCACCACCATAATGTTCATGCTGAGCATCAGCATCCTCATAAGCAGCATAAGCATCATCCTGATCATCGGCATCATCATCATCAGCAACATCAGTACCGTCATCAGCATCATTGTCGTCATCACCCTGCGTCACCCTGCGCTTCAGCAACATCATCATCATCGTCATCATCAGCAGCATCCTCATCACCACCACCAGCACCATAATCCTCATCATCAGCATCAGCATCATCATGATCATGTTCATCATCATCAGCATCATCATCGCCAGCATCACTATCTTCATCATCATAATCATGATCATCAACATCATCTTCATCGTTACCATCATCATCATCATCATCAACATCATCATCATCCTCATCCTCTTCATTAGCAGCAACAGCACCGTCATCATCATCATGATCAGCATCATCATCAACAGCAACATCATGGTCGTCGTCGTCAGCGCTCTCTGAATCAAATAACTGATGCATCAATCCGTGACATCGAGGTCGACCATTGCACTCCGCACACACAGCAAATACCGACCTGCACCCCAGTGTTGGCACGCAGCCAGTTCAAGGAGGAAAATGAGGGCCACTCCTGTTGCCTCAAGGAACGGCTTAGGAAGAAAACCTGGACCCAGCCCCATGGGAAGGGGTCGAAAGCTCAGGGGGCGGGCAACATGAAAAACCAGGTCGTCGGTCTGGATCCCGAGGACCGGTTGTTCGTCATCGGGGTTTGTCTCTGGATGCCCAAGGGCAACACCAAAGAAAAACCAGCCGACGCGATGCCTGCTTGTCACGCCCGAAGCCCCCAGAAGAGAGCTCCAGCGCGCGGTGGCCTTGAAGGCCTCGAAGACGGTCGCGACCGACCCGAGCTGGGCGTCCTGGAAGTTCTTCTGCATGGCCGACCTCCCCCCTCCCCAGCCGTCCCCCACTGCGCCCCCCGCGCGGACCCTGCGCCCTCCGCCGCGCCAGCTCCTCCTCCCCATCCTCATCCTCCTCGTCCTCCTCGTCCTCCTCCTCCTCCTCCCCTATTAGATTCTAGTCTATTATATTATATTCTCCTCTATTCGATTCTATTACATTATATTATGTTATGTTCTTTTCCGTTCTTTTATATTATATAATACAATATTATATTATACTGTAGTTTAGGACGTGGGGCGGTGCCTGCCACGCCTAAAAACAAAACCACTTAGCCAGCTAGATGAAGGGCGGGATTTTCGTCCTCTTCCTCCACGGGGGGGCCCGCGTCCCCGCCCCGCACCTTCCAAAATTCAAGCTGGTCCGAGGACACACCGAACCTCCAAAGGACCTCTTCACGGGACCATCGAAGCCCCCAGACGGGCTCCGGGGCCCTGGGCGAGGCCCGCACGCCACCAGGCACACGAGGGGCCGCCAGGGCCACGAGGTCACCCGAAGAGGGCTCACGCAAGGGCCCGAGCCGCAAGCCCGAATACCGGAGGGCCCATGAGGGGAAAAGCCCCCTCCACGCCCTCGCCAGCTGCCGCCCCGTGTGCTCGGCGGGCGGCTTGCCCCCGCGCGGGCGCGCCAGCGAGGCGACACCCCCCCACGTATAGCACCCACGGGCGGTGCAGACGAGGGCCGCGGGTCCCGAGAGAACGGTGGCCCCGTGGGGGTCGGAGACAGCGGCCGCGCGCAGACGGCGTCCGAGGAGCTGCAGCAGCAGCGACAGTTCGGGATCGCCACGAGAGCCGCAGGCCAGAAGGGCTCTGGGGTTTGAAGCGGCCGCGCCCTCCCGAGACAAGCGCGCAGGGCAGGGGCGGGGGGGCCGAAACCGAAGGAAAAAGGCGGGTCCCCACCTCCTCCCCCGCCCCCACCCGCGGGAGGGCGTCGGAGCCCTGGGCCGAGGACTCGGCCAACCTCTCCTCCTGCTGCGCGGCCCAGCGGGCCGCCTCTTGGACCATGAGGTCCAGGGCTTGGATGTCCGCGTGGGCCGACGCGGTGGAAGGGTGACAGGCCGCGCTCCGCGGCGGGCGAATGTCAGCCAAACTGTTTCCCGCCCGCTCCCACTCCGACGTCCGCCCCGCCCACGCATCATGGATATTCGAGTGGCCTCTGACTTTGTGGGCCACCAGGCCCGAGTCAAACCTAGCCTGGATCCTGGCCCAGAAGTGCGCCCTGGGGTTCGACGAGCAAGTGGCGACAGCCTGGGACAACGCGCAGTAGATCGTACCCTGGCAGTCCGTAGTTCGTTTGTGTATATATATATATATATTAATAGATAGATGTAATAATAATCGTATTATTCTTGAGGGTAGTAATAATACTAATAATAAGTATAATAATTATAATAATAATCATAATAATAATAATAATAATAATAAGAATGATAATGATACTAATAATAATGATAATACTTATAATACTAATAATAATAACAATAATAATAACTAGAATGATGACAATAAAAATATTAATCATAATACTAATAAAAAATAATAACGGTACTTACAATAATAATGATCATGGCGATACTAATAATAATAATAAGTGATACTAATAATAATAATCAGTAATAATACTAATAAGAATAATAATAATAACAATAATAATAATAACAATAATAATAGTAAACCTAAGTGGTTTTTGTGGAAAAAAACTCGACTGGCTCCTGCACACACTCGCATGCAAAGAAATAGGCAACGTCCTCTCCGTCACGGGCCCGCTGAAACGGGGCGAGGTCCGCTGGGGCCGATCCCAAACTCTCCGCCTGGAACCTACCCAACTCATCAGTCATCGCAAGACCCCAACCCGCGCGCCGCGAGTACTCACAGGACGGAAAGAGGGCGGATCCATCAGTGAAAACCATGACCTGCAAAATCCTGGCGCGGGACGGTTGACCCACCAGGTCTGGCACGCTATTCGAACGAGACGATCGGGGCAGGGGGGGGGTCGAGGGGCGAGGGGAAGATGCCGCAAGCAGCGAGCTCGGACTCCACGCCCCACTCTCGTACCTGGTCAAGGGCCGACCTCACGGGCAAACTGCACATAGTCCGCCTGTCGACCTCGAACGCAGGGCAATCAATTCTGCGATGCGTCAGCGTGCCTGGCGCACCTGCGCACGCTCGCGAGGAGGCCAGGCCGTGGTCGCACAACCGCTGCTGGGGCCATTGAGTCTGCGACACCAGCGAGCGGAGAGAAGACTGGTGGTGCGACGACCAGCACGAGGACTCTGGCCCCTCCATCAACCGCCGCAGCGGTCGCCCAAAAACTGGTCTGAGCCACGCTGGCAGGCGCTGGTGCTTGGCGAGCGCGGCCACATCGGATGCCCCCGACGCCGCTCTCTCTGCGAGCTGGCGGACGAGGCTGGGCGAAATCCCGAGCAAGTCTAGCCCCCCCCCCTCTTTCCGAGACCACCGCCCGAGCCGACTCCGCCCTCCACCCCAGGTCAGCGAGAGAGAGCAGCCAGACATGGGCGGGTAAAGTGGCGGCACCCCATTTCGAGGCGGCCGCCTGAAGGAGGTCCCGTGCCCACACGAAAGAAGCCTGAAGAATGTTCAGCGGCGGGGACCCCTCCCAGACGGCACGCGCCCCCATGTAAACAACTTCGCCGCGACACAGCCTAGCTGGGTCGAGCTGGGCCCCAAGAGTAGAGCTCAGGAGACGCCTGCCCGTCGAGGCCGCCCTCTTCCTCCGAATAAGACTGCAAACGGCCTGGAAACGAAGAGCGCGGAGCTTCCTGCCAGGCAGCCCCACGACCGCAGAGGCCCGAAGGCAAGCCGCTTGGGGCCCTGCGCGGTGCGCCGCACCAATCTTCGCGCCAGCCCCACGCAGTCTTCTAGGGCGCCCCGCGCGGCGGAAGCCCTTGCAAATCCTGGACGAGGCCGTCGGAACCCCACGGCTGCTAGCCGTCGCCGCGTCCGTGCCCAGGTTGCGCGCAACACCTCTACGCCTGAACCCAAGAGCCCCCCACTCGATGGACAGACGGTCGGCGAATGGGCGCACGCTTCCCCCTAGCCCGCGAGGGTTGGGACCCACGACCAGGTCCAGGCTGCAGCCGCGCATGGGGAGCGTCACCAGCCATGACCAATCCGACGTTTTGTTGTAGATTCGACAAGGGAAAAGACTTTTGGGGTAAATGAGTTATGTGGTCAGTCCCCTACTCGAAGCATATGAACACAAACTCCCATGGCTAAACTCTCGCTGTGGCCTGCGCTGAAAAAATCCTTTCGTATGCGGCTCGAGCTCGCTGCGCTTCAAGATTCCGAGGACGCAGCTGCATCTGCTTCACGAGCCAATTGAGATCACGAATACGACGAAAACAAGAACTCTTCGAGAGTGACTCCGGGAAGCTCGCATACACGCCACTGGCGAGACTGATCAGACTCATCCGGGCTGCATATCCCAGCAGCGCCAGGTACGCTGTAACCACCTCTGTCGCAGCAGGGTCTTCAAGCGAATCCTGCTGGTATTTGGTCAAGTCGACCAGCCTCACCTTCGGGCCATCCCTAGGGGAACAGGCGGTTAGTGCACCGTCCATCAACAATAGCATCGACATCATCATCAACAACACGATCACCAACACCATCACCATCACCATCACCATCACCAACACCATCACCATCACCATCACCATCATCATCATCCTCAGAATCATCATCATCATCATCAGCATCAGCATCATCATCATCATCATCATCATCATCATCATCATCCTCATCGTCATCGCCACCACTACGGACACCCTGATCATCATCACAACAATGCTCATGAAATCCACCGTAGTATATGCGACGTCACCGTCATCGTCAACAACATCATCTCCAGCACCATCATCCGCAACAGTACAAACATCACCATCAGCCGAAATACCATCAACCTCATGCACACAACATTCACACATTCCTCTTCACCCTCATTATCGTCATCGTCTTCATCGTCATGATCTCCATTGTGAGCATCCTCGCCTTCATCCTCGCTGTCTTCCTCATCGTCTTCCTCATCAGGAGGACCCCTCTCCTCATTGTCCTCCCAATGCGCCTCATCCTCCCTGTATTCCTTCCCCTGGGCCGCGACCTGGCGTTCGCCAGATGCTTGCTCCTGAAGTCCATGATCTTCTGCTTGGCCTCTGCGAGCTTCTCCTCGTAGCCCTCGGCCTCGTGGAAAGAGGGGCCCGGCGGCGGGCAACGGCACGCGGCGGTGCGCCCCAGGGAGTGGAACCGTGACGGGGACCTCCTCCTCCTCCTCCTCCTCCCCCTCTCCTCCTCCTCCTCCTCCTCCTCCTCCTCCTCCTCCTCCTCCTCCTCCTCCTCCTCCTCCTCCTCCTCCTCCTCCTCCTCCTCCTCCATCTCCTCCTCTGCCTTCTCCTCCTCTTCCCTCCGCCTTCTCCCAACTCCATCCTCCTCCTCCTCCTCCTTCTCATCCTCCTCCTTCTCCTCCTCCTCCTCTTCCCTCTCCTTCTGCTCCTTCTGCTCCTACCGTCCTCCCCCGCCTCGTTCTCATCCTTTTCCTCACTCTCCACCTCCTGCCCATCGTCCTCCTCCTTCATTTCATGATTGCTATGTTTCGCCATCGTCTGTCGCATCAGTATTCGTCGTAATAGCCATAATGATCCGACTATTGTTACTAGAACCACGCGCGCGCTTCGCGCGCTTAGGTTCTGTCGAGTCACAGACCCAGGAATCGCTGCAAGAAGAAATTGGTGACGCGAAGCGTCTTGGGGGCGTCCTTGGACGTCTGGGGTCTCCTGGGGCCTCTTGAGGGGCCTCCTTGGGGCCTTCTTGGGCTCCATCTGGAAGCCAAGATGGATGCAACAAGAGGGTGCTTGGGCTCTCCGTGAGCTATCCTCTGGTTTTCATTCCCCTGGAAAGGAGAAGGAGGAGGAGGAGGAGGAGGATGAGAAGGAGGAGGAGGAGGAGGAGGAAGATGCAGAGGAGGGAGGAGGAGGAAGGAGAGGAGATGTTGGGGCGCTCTTGGGGCCCTCTTGGGCTCTCTTGGGGCTCGTCGGGGCCCTCGTGGGGCCACCTTGGGCTCCTCTCGGAGCTCCAAGAGGAGCCGACAGAGGGGCCCAACATCGGTCACGCGAGAGCTCTTTCGCGTGACCGATGTTGGGGCCCTCTTGGGGCCCTATTGGGCCTCCTTGGGCCCTCTTGGGGTCTCGACGGGGCCCTCGTGGGGCCATCTTGGGCTCCTCTCGGAGCACCAAGAGGAGCCCAAAGAGGGGGCCCAACATCGGTCACGCGAGAGCTCTTCCGCGTGACCGATGTTGGGGCCATCTTGGGGTTCCTTGGGCCTCCTTGGGCCCACGTGGGGCTCCCTCGGGGCCCTCGTGGGGCCATCTTGGGCCCCTCTTGGAGCTCCAAGAGGAGCCCAAAGAGGGGCTCAACATCGGTCACGCGAGGGCTCTTCCGCGTGACCTATGCTGGGGCTCTCTTGGGTCCCTCTTGGGCCTGCTTGGGTCCTCTTGGGGTCTCGTCGGGGCCCTCGTGGGGCCATCTTTGGCTCCTCTCGGAGCTCCAAGAGGAGCCCACAGAGGGGCCCAACATCGGTCACGCGAGAGCTCTTCCGCGTGACCGATGTTGGGGCTCTCTTGGGGCTCTCTTGGGTCCCTCTTGGGCCTCCTTGGGCCCACGTGGGGTTCCCTCGGGGCGCCCTCTTGGGCCCGTCTTGGGGCCCTCTTGGGCCATCTTGGGCGCCTCTTGGGCCGTCTTGGGGCCCTCTTGGGCTGTCCTGGGGCCCTCTTGGAAGCTTCTTGGGCCGTCTTGGGGCGGTCTTGGGCGCCTCTTGGGCCGTCCTGTAACGTCGGAAAGCCCAAAAGACAACTTTGTTGAAAATGTACGTTTTACGAACGGAATGGGCGAATTTTTGCGTCGAGGGGCCCTCTTGGGACGCATGTTGGAGGCTTCTTGGGGCCTCTTGGGGGCGTCCTTGGACGTCTGGGGTCTCCTGGGGCCTCTTGAGGGGCCTCCTGGGGGCCTCCTGGCGGCCTCTTGGGGCGGAAGGCTCGAGCTTGCGGTTCGTGGTCCCCCTCTGGGCCCCCTCTTGGGCCCGTCTTGGGGCCCTCTTGGGCCATCTTGGGCGCCTCTTGGGCCGTCTTGGGGCCCTCTTGGGCTGTCCTGGGGCCCTCTGGGAAACTTCTTGGGCGGTCTTGGGGCGGTCTTGGGCGCCTCTTGGGCCGTCCTGTAACGTCGGAAAGCCCAAAAGGCGACTTTGTTAAAAATGTACGTTTTACGAAGGGAATGGGCCAATTATTGCGTCTAGGGGCCCTCTTGGGACGCATGTTGGAGGCTTCTTGGAGCCTCTTGGGGGCGTCCTTGGACGTCTGGGGTCTCCTGGGGCCTCTTGAGGGGCCTCCTGGGGGCCTCCTGGCGGCCTCTTGGGGCGGAAGGCTCGAGCTTGCGGTTCGTGGTCCCCCTCTGGGCCCCCTCTTGGGCCCGTCTTGGGGCCCTCTTGGGCCATCTTGGGCGCCTCTTGGGCCGTCTTGGGGCCCTCTTGGGCTGTCCTGGGGCCCTCTTGGAAGCTTCTTGGGCCGTCTTGGGGCGGTCTTGGGCGCCTCTTGGGCCGTCCTGTAACGTCGGAAAGCCCAAAAGACAACTTTGTTGAAAATGTACGTTTTACGAAGGGAATGGGCCAATTTTTGCGTCTAGGGGCCCTCTTGGGACGCATGTTGGAGGCTTCTTGGGGCCTCTTGGGGGCGTCCTTGGACGTCTGGAGGCCATCTTCAGCATCTCGGAGCCCTCTTGGAGGCCTCTTGGAAGTTTCTTGGGCCGTCTTGGGCGCTTCTTGGGCCGTCTTGTCTGACTGGGGAGGCCTCCTGCAAGCCCCGACGAGCCTCCGGGCCCCCGGGGCGCACATTTGTGGTCGAGGTCCCGGCCCCGGGCCCCCGGACCCGGTGCGCCGTTATATGTATACTATTGTTAACAACTCGGTTACCAGTATTAACAGCATGGGTAATATCAGCACAATTCTTCATGCTACAAGTAGAACTTCGTATTGCCCATGATACGACTTGCTATCGCATTCATATATTTTTCAGTCTTTTCTCCCTCGTCCCTATTCCCTGGAGGACAGCGGGGGATGGGGGGAGGGAGAGGAGACGGAGCTGAGAACGGGGAGAGCGGGGAAAAGGCAGGGACAGAGGGGTAGGAAGTGGAGGACGACACGGCGGAAAGGGGAGGGGAAGGGAGAGCGGCGGGAGGGGAAACCGGGAAGGGGGCAGGGGGAAGAAAGGGGGAAGAGGGGAGGACGAGGAGGAGCGGTTGGGGTAAGGAAATGAGCCGTGCGGGGCGACGGGAAAGCATGGCCATTCGCACGCATCGCGTTAGCCGCCCACGATCAGCACCATCATCAAATCATCATCAAATCATCGTCAGCAGCATCATCATCATCATCATCATCATCATCATCATCATCATCATCATCATCAGCATCATCATTATCATCATCAGCATCATCATCATCATCATCATCATCAGCAGCATCATCATCATCATCATCATCATCATCATCATCATCATCATCATCATCATCATCATCATCATCATCACCATCACCATCACCATCACCATCACCATCACCATCATCAGCATCAGCATCATCATCATCATCATCATCATAATCAGCATCATCATCATCATCATCAGCAGCATCATCATCATTATTCACCATCATCATCATCATCGTCAGCAGCAGCAGCATCACAACCACCATCCTCACAAGCAGGATCAACATGAGCATCAGCATCCTCTACACCACCGCCATCATCATGCTACCACCATCGCCTGATGCACAGGATGACTACAATTTCGAGAGGAGGCTCGGGACGCCTGTATGACTCTCATCCTCAGTCGCTGCAGAAGCTGGCTCAAGAGCTACTCGGGAGCCCTTCTCGCGAACACGCCGCTCAAATGAAGGAGGTAAAGACCATATGCGACCAGCTGAGAGCGTTTCACAAGCAGCTCTCCTTCGACGAGCTTGCTGCAGCAGAAAAAAAAATGCTAGGTATGTGCGGTGCCTGTCAGAATGAGTGGCAATACACGGTTTGGGGTTTCTTAT